CAACAGCAGCTGATGGAGAACTTCAAGTGCAAGAACCTTGGGGAGGTAAAGTACTACCTCGGGATGCACGTGGAGAGGGATCTGGATCACAGGTGGTTGAAGGTGCACCAGGAGAAGTTCATCAAGGAGCTGGGGGAGAAGTACGAGATTGAGAATGAGCGCAAGGTTGCAACTCCCCTGCCAGCAGAATTCAAGCTTGTGAAAGCTGCAGAGGATGAAGGGGTTGAAGCTGAGGAGCAGCAAAAATTCCAGTCCTTGGTGGGCAGCCTCTTGTATGCAGCTGTTCACACGAGGCCTGACATCTCTTTCTCGGTTGGGCAGCTGGCTAGGATGGTGCAGAATCCATCAGAGGAACAAGTGGATGCAGCTGAGCGGGTGGTGAAGTATCTGAACTCCCACCCAAGCATTGGAGTTCAATACTCCGCATCTGCACAGGTGGAGCAGAAAGGGGTTGAGGTGCTGAAAAAGAAGGGGGAGAGGCTTGGAGAAGGCAAGCTCTTTCTCACTTGCTTTACCGATGCAACTTGGGCTTCTGAGAAGGAAGATTCTTCATCTGTGGGAGGATACATCTGCGTAGTAGGGGGAGGACCTGTTAGTTGGAGGTCAAAGAAGCAGACGGAGACAGCACTCTCTTCCGTGGAGTCAGAGTACATGGCAATGTTCCACGGGGTGAAGGAGGTGATTTGGCTGAGGAGGTTGTTAGAGGAGATTGGTCAGGAGCAGAAGGTTGCTACGCCGCTGTTTTGTGATAGCAAGGGGGCTCTTGGAATGGCCAGGAACGCTGTGCTTTATGGGCTCAATAAGCACATGCGTATCAAGTGGCACTGGCTGCGTAAGGAGGTGAAGCGGGGGACGGTGAATCCGATCTACATCAAGACTCACCAGCAGCCAGCAGACTTCCTTACCAAGAGGCTTGCGGATGAGCCTCATTGGCGTTGTGTGCGCATGAGTGGAATGAGCATGAACTAGCATGGAATGAACGAAATACAGCCGGCAGGCTGAGGGGGAGTGTGTTGGGTGCAAATTCACATTGCACGACATCCTGCCGTCTGTTTGTACGAGTATCCATGTGCGAATGCATTTGCGTGTGAATAGTATGTTCGTGTGTTTGTTTGCTTTCGCAATTTTCGCTTGAAGCTTTTGCAGGCACTCGCGCATTGTGCGCTTCGGCACAACATTGTCCGCCCTATGAACAGTACAAGCAGAAAGGACGAGCTCGCAAAGGAACCCAAGATGGAAGCTTTGCGGTTCGGCTTACTTGATTGCGCAGATTCAGTTCTATCCAACTCGAAATTGTATTGTTTTGTTTGGTTGACTATAGTGTAGCAGGGCAGGCACTATAGGGGTACAGTTTAGGTGAAGGTTGCTACAGGGCCAGGGGAAACCAGTGGAACCAGCATTTGGCTGGTTGGGCAAAGACAAATCAGGTTCTGTTTTTTAGGACCTGAACCTGGTTGTTGTTTTCCCAGGTTGGAAAAACAGAACCAGAGGTTGTTTACCAACCTACCATCTGCTGTTTTGTCCAGCCAGGTTGGTTCTGTTGCTTGGAATTATTTGGGATCATCCTTGGTTGTTCCCAGGTTTATTCCCAAGGTCCTTGCTGGCTAAAACTATTTATTCTTTCTCTGTTTGTACCTGGATATAGTCAATTTGATTCAAGCGAATTCCTCCCTTCCTGGAATTTCGTTTCTACGCGGTGCGACGGCGGAATGCTACCCGAGTCAACGCTAATACGCTAGCACTCCAACGCTAGGAAAACGCTGTCCGAGCCATAACTTTATAATGGCAGAACTTTTCGCGAGGCGACTTGGTTCATTTTAAAGCTCTTGGAATGAGCTTCGATATAGTAAATTCTCAGCTTAATCCGATCAACGGTCTGCACAATACGTTGCGCGACGTTCAAGTTACTCTTGTTATTTTAACTAAGTCATTCTTGATTCCTCTCTCTACAAACACGGACCCGAGGATAGGGGCTGGTCTTGTACCAGGCACCCAAGGACCCTTGGAGGTGACCCCAAGGAGAGGTTTTAAGTTTTATAAAGTCTTAATAGCTTGAGTTTGTTAAGCCCTTACACCAACAGATTGGTTGCCGATGGTGGAGCAGCAAGCGATGTAGTTGGTGAAGGTGCTGAGGAGTGACCGTGGTGGAGAGTTTCTTGGAGCGGAATTCACCCAGTTTCTCAAGAGGAACGGCATCCGACACCAGCTAACCTGCCCTGCAACACCGCAGCAAAACGGCATTGCTGAGCGCGCCAACCGGACCATTGGCGAGTCGGCTAAGACCTTGTTGAGGGCTGCTGGGATGCCCTAGAAGTTCTGGCCTGAAGCTATTCACCTTGTCATCACGGTCAAGAACAGGGTCTTGACGCATGTTGGCGACAAGCAATGGGTGCCGTACGAGCGTTGGCTTGGGAAGAAGCCATCCATTGACATGCTGCGGGTGTGGGGCTGCATGGGGCTTGTGATGGTGCCTAAGGAGCAGAGGCACAAGCTGGAAGTTGCTGCTGTGTGGGCTGTCCATCTTGGGATGGCCCCTGACTCGAAGGGGTGGCTGATGTGGGACCCCAAGAGCAAGAAGACGCTGGTCAGCCGTGACGTCAAGTTTGTGGAGGACGTCATGTACAAGGACTGGCAGCAGCAGCAGCAGGTGCAGATTGGCTTGCGTCTGCAGGAGATTGAGCAGTCTGCAGTGGAGGAGGTTCAGCTGTACCTTGATGAACTCCATGGGTCAGAGCTGACTAGTGACCACACTGGCGTTGGTGAGCAGCAAGGTGCTGGTCCTGCTGCGGAAGAGGGGTTGGAGGATGAGTCGGCACGTGAGGACTCACCATCTCAGCCCGAGCCTGCTGCAACCGCCAAGGTCACCAAGAGGAGTGTGCAAAATGGAGCTTCACCACATGGGCAGCAGAATGGAACCCGCGAGAAGAGCATGGCAGCAGCACCTTCAAGGCTAAAGTATAGCCATTTAGGAGGTGCCAAGCAAGGTGCCATGGCGGTTCAGGCGGATGAGGGAGAGGATGAGGAGATGGCGTTCCGTTTCTTCACACCCTTGCCTGGAGAACCAGCCACAGTGGAGGAGGCACTGAGTGGACCTCAGAAGGAGGAGTGGAAGGCTGCCATGGATGCGGAGTTCAACAATCACATTGAGAAGGGAGCTTGTTGAGTTACCCGAGGGGCGACGGCCGATCAGCAGCAAGTGGGTCTTCAAGGTGAAGAGTGGAGCTGATGGTGCGCTGGAGCGGTTCAAGAGCCGCTTAGTCGCCTAGGGGTTTCAGCAAAAAGAGAAGGTTGAAGTCAAGGAGATCTTCGCTCCCGTTGTCAAGCTAGTGACATTGAGGACTGTGATGGCTGGCGCAGCTGTGAAGGGATGGCATGTGAAGCAGATGGATATCACCACGGCGTTTCTCGATGGAATACTGCTGGAGGATATCTACTTGGTGCAGCCCAACGGCTATGAGGATGGGACCAGCCGTGTGTGCAAGCTCAAGAAGGCTATCTATGGCCTTAAGCAAGCGCCCAGGTGCTGGTACGAGACGTTGGAGGAGGTGCTGCTGGGTGGAGGCTTCAAGACGTCCCAGGCGGATCACAGCTTGTTTCTGCTCGGAGAGGGGGAGCAACTGCTCTTGCTGCTGGTATATGTCGACGACATACTGCTGTTCTCACCTTCCTTGGAGCAGATTGAGAGGGCACAGAAGCTGCTGGTGGACAACTTCAAGTGCAAGATGCTGGGGGATGTCCACTACTACTTGGGGCTGTAGATTGAGAGGGATGTTGAGAGGAGGTGGCTGAAGGTGCATCAGTCGCACTACATCTTTGGTGTCATGAAGCGCTATGGTGTGACTGGGGGTCGCACTGTGATGACACCATTCGTTGCAGGCTTCAAATTGAAGAAGGCAGTTGAGGAGGATGAGCAGCAGAATGAGTACCAGCACTCATTGGGAGTGTAATGTATGCGGCTGTAATGTATGTACCTGATGCTTCATTTGGAGTGGGCCAGCTAGCCAGAGTTGTGCAGCGGCCCACTGAGGAGCAGTTGGAGGTGGCAAAGCGCTTGGAGCGCTACCTCAGATCAACGGCATCTGCTGGTGTTCAGTTTTCAGCTGGTGGCCAGCTGAGAAAGATTGGAGCAGATGGGATCACGCCTGGAACCTAGAAGTTGCCGTGCTTCACCGACGCTAAATGGGCCTCTGAGGAGGAGGATCAGTTATCAGTTGGCGGCTTTGTGTGCATGGTCGGAGGCGGACCAGTGAGCTGGAGGTCCAAGAAGCAGAGTCAGATTGCTCAGTCTTCCGGAGAGGCAGAGTACATGGCGATGTACCATGCCATCAAGGAGATCGTGCTCCTAAGAAAGCTGCTGGAGGACATGGGAGCTGAACATCCGGGACCTACACCACTTTTCTCCGACAGCGAGGCTGCTATTGGCATGGCCAATAATCCTTTCTTGAATGGGCTGAACAAGCACATAATTAAGTGGCACTGGGTGAGGCAGATGGTGAAGGAGGGAATTGTTTAGCTTCACCATGTGAAGGCAAGCAAGCAGGCGGCAGATTTTCTCACCAAGAGACTTCCCGAGAGTGCACATTGGAAATGTGCTAAGATGTGTGGCATGGCATTGCACTAGTGTGGGCAGCGGTGGCATGGGTGCATGAAGGTTTGCATGCTTGTAAATGTGTGTGCATGCAGTCCGTTAGTCTGAGGGGGAGTTTGTTGGATGCACGTTATTCCGAGTGCATGTCATCCTAACGTCCTGCCGAGTGCTCGTGCTATTCGTGCGTGCATTGTTTGCATGAGCATATGTCACTGTGCATGGCTGTTGGATATTATCATCTCTGTGTTTTTCTCCAAGTTTAAATGCTTGATCATGCAGGAGATATCCAAAGCTTTCCAACGATACCAAGATCGCCTTATTCCGACCAAGATCGCCCAAGTTACATGATTTCCAAACTTTGGGAATTCTATCTCATTTTGAGATGTAATCTTCAGTGGGCGATTATTGGGACATGAGTATAAAGGGATCTTTGGTTGGGTGGTTAGGAAGGCAACTTTGACTTTTGGATTGGGGTGGCTAGACGTTTCTACCTGGGTTGCAAATGTTGCAACACCTGGGCAAGATCCAACTAGATTGGATTTTGCATGTGACACCTCATGGACCTCATGATGAGGGTTGCATCCTTGCTGCTAGGAAGGTTCCTACCATCCTTCCCTAGCTCTTGGAGAACCCCTTCCCTCTCATGGTTCTCTTGGAGTCCCCAACTCCAAATTTCTGTGCCTTAATGCTTGTACTTCCTCCACCATTCTAATCATGCGGCTGCTGGACGTGTTTACTTGGTTCTCACTCTTTAGACCATCTTAACAACTGATTCAACTTGGAGGTGGTAGCTAAGCCTAATGCACACAATCCTACCAAGCGGATTTGCGTTTAGTTGAGTAATGAGTTCGTCGTTAGCTCTCAAAGTGACGGATCCTGAACAAAAAGGGGCTGACACTGCTGCTGCCTCTGGCCACCTCTAAGGCCTCCCCTCTGGCTGGTACCACCTCGACCGCCACCACTGCCGCCGCCTCCACCCCCACCACCGCCACCACCGCCGCCACCACCACCGCCTCCACCACTCCCACTGCCGCCACCACCGCCGCCACCTGCCCCTCCACCCTCACCACTACTAGCTCCTCCACCGCCGCCCCCTCCACCTCCTCCACTGCCCCCACCACCACCTCCACCTCTGCCACCCCCACCGCTCCTCCCTCCCCTGCCCCTGCCACTGCGGCGCCTCCCACTAGGGGTAAACGCAGCTCCTACCTCCTCAGCACGAAGGTAGTCAACAGCTGCAGCTGAGGCGATTGAGGGGAGAAGTGGGGAGGGCGAACACACCTCAAAGAAGGGGGTGCGAGGAGTGCCACGAGAAGCGCCTACAGCGACAATGCTAGTCACAGCTGCTAGGAGGTGCTTCTCGAGCAGGTCGACAGTGAGGTCGGTGGGGTCAAGTGTTAGAAGGAGGTCCCTGGCTGCGCTAAGAGAGTCTGGGTGACTATCAAAAAGAGCGTGATGTACATGGGGGTGGGGGGGGTTATTGGCGAGAAACTCGGCGGGGAGCGCAGCACGGTAGCGAGTGTCACTCGTGCGGAGGTGAGTGACCAGGTCAGCTACTGTGGCAAAGGCGGACAGCTCTTGGAACAGGTAGGGCAGGAGAAGGCGGCCTAGAGCAGCAGTGGCCGGGGAGGAGTAACGAGCGACTACAGTGTCGTACAATGCTTTAACTGTCTTATGCTGGCCAAAGTGGGCGCGTTCTGCTAACGGCAGGTGGTTGCGAACGGCTAGGCGAGCAGCAACGTCACGGTTAAGCCTCTGTTAGCGGGTCGCACTGTCAGCTGTGGCGTCAGGGGCGGGCGAGGCGCCAGAAGTGAGATCAAACAGCGAAGTACCGTCCTTAGAGTCTATCAGCAGGAACAGCTTTAAATCGTCTAGCCAAGCAGTGAACTCAATCGGGCGGCCCTCCGAATCGAATGTGAGAACGTTGAGGTGGCCATAGCAGGCAGAGCAGTCGGGCGCGCTAGCAGCAGAGCAGCACGCTAACAGCAGTGCAGAAGGGAGCGCGCTAGCAGCAGTGCAGCAGTGAGCGGCGCACGGTAGGGAATGGTGCGCACAGCAGGGCAGGGCGCGCGGCAGGGCAGGGCGTGCACCGCAGAGCAGGGGCGCGCACGGCAGAGCAGGGCGCGCGGCAGGGCAGGGCGCGGTGCTCAGGGTGGGCAGGGCGCGTGGCGCAGAGCGCGGGCAGGGCAGGGTTGCGGCGGTGCGGCGCGCGCGCAGCGCAGGGCGAACGGCGGCGCGGCGCGCGGGTAGGGCAGAGCGCGCGGCGGTGCGGTGCGCGGGCAGGGCAGGGCGCGCGGCAACGCGGCGCGCGGGCAGGGCAGAGCGCGCGGCGGCGCGGTGCGCGAGCAGCGCAGGGCGCGCGGCGCGGGCAGAGCGCGGGCAGGGCAGGGCGCGGGGCGCGGACAGCGCGCGGGCAGGGCAGGGTGCGCAGCCACTCGGCACTCAGTCAGGGCGCGCGCGGCGGCGCAACGCGCGGGCAGGGCAGGGCGCGCTGCAGCAGGTGGTGCGCGGGACGCGCTGCAGCACACGGCGCTCTAGCAAAGCAGTGCGCGCTTCTGCGGACAACGCAGGGCAGGGCTGGGCAGGGCAGTACGACGTGATCACACTAGCGCGACGGGTGGGATAGCGCTACTCGGTGGGCCCTAAAAGATCGGTCCTAGGCTGGGACCTGCTCTGAAACCATGTCAGTATAACGAAGAGGAATGAATGAACTAGAAGTAGGATGGGTACTCGGCGCAGTCAGGGCGCGCGCGGCGGCGCGAAGCGCGGGCAGGGCAGGGCGCAGCTGGTGGTGCGAGGGGCGCGCTGCAGCAGACGGCGCTCTAGCAAAGCAGTGCGCGCTTCAGCGGGCGGCGCAGGGCAGGGCTGGGCAGGGCAGTACGACGTGATCACACTAGCGCGACGGGTGGGATAGCGCTACTCGGTGGGCCCTAAAAGATCGGTCCTAGGGTGGGACCTGCTCTGAAACCATGTCAGAATAACGAAGAGGAATGAATGAACTAGCAGTAGGATTGGTACTCGGCGCTCAGTCAGGGTGTGCGCGGCGGCGCAACGCGTGTCAGAACTTATATTTGTAACTGCCTGTAGCTGTAGTTAGTGTAGTTATTATAAAATTTGTTTGGTGGTTCACCTTCTTTGTTTCAATTGCTATATGTTCTTTGTAACCTATAGTGAAACCACTTTTCTCTCTCAACTCACTCGATCCTCACCCTTGGCACAAAACCACTCGATATCCCCTAGGCCTAGGCTACTAAGCCTAGGCCTACTTACCTCTCGATTTCTTCTAAGAGCCACTTATTTTTGACATGCTATCAGAGCGTTTTACGTCCTGGCCTGTGGGCCCGCCAATATGCTTCCGCTACTATTTTTCCCGGTCGCGCGCCTAGGGCGCGTGGCGATTTCCTCTTGTCCCGCCCTCGATTGGCGAGTGACTTCTTCTCTGCCCGTCGCGCGCCCCGTGGCATGCGACGGTGCCCTAAACCTGCCCGTCGTGCGCCCCGTGGCACGCGACGGTGCCCTGCTCGTCGTGCGCCCCAAGGCACACGACCGGGCCCTAAACTTCAACTTGCCCGTCGTGCGTCCCGTGGCACGCGACGGGCCCTCTCCGCACCTGCACTCCCTGCAGCCGCCACTGACCTACTTACCCCAACACAATGTAGCCGCTCTGTGGCTTTCTTCCCGCCCACCCCCTCCTCCTTAGTCTCCCTGCAGCCGTGGGGAGGAGGGTATGGGGGTGGCGGGGGTTGGAGTGTTAAGTCGTCTCCTTCCCTTCCCCTCCTCCTCCTTTTGTTCCCGCTGCTGCAGCTGCCGCCGGGGGGGAGGGTGTGAGGGTGTGGGGGAGCAGGGGGAGTGGCACCGGGGTGGCGGGTGTGAGGCAACCAGCAGCCGTCCCTCCACCTCTCCTCTCTTCCCCCCTTCTCTGCTGCTCCTGCAGCAGTGTGGGGGAGGGGAAGGAGGAGGGTGAGGAGACGGAGGGGGTGACCAGCTAGTGTCAGCCCCCCTGCAGTACCTGCTGTTGCTTGTTTATGATTTTGCATGTGTACCCCTGCAGGTTGTATTCTGCACAAACTCCTGCTGCAGGCAGTTATGGGGGAGTGTCAGAACTTATATTTGTAACTGCCTGTAGCTGTAGTTAGTGTAGTTATTATAAAATTTGTTTGGTGGTTCACCTTCTTTGTTTCAATTGCTATATGTTCTTTGTAACCTATAGTGAAACCACTTTTCTCTCTCAACTCACTCGATCCTCACCCTTGGCACAAAACCACTCGATATCCCCTAGGCCTAGGCTACTAAGCCTAGGCCTACTTACCTCTCGATTTCTTCTAAGAGCCACTTATTTTTGACAACGCGCAGGCAGGGCAGGGCGCGCTGCAGCAGGTGGTGCGCGGGGCGCGCTGCAGCAGACGGCGCTCTAGCAAAGCAGTGCGCGCTTCTGCGGGCGGCGCAGGGCAGGGCTGGGCAGGGCAGTACGACGTGATCACACTAGCGCGACGGGTGGGATAGCGCTACTCGGTGGGCCCTAAAAGATCGGTCCTAGGGTGGGACCTGCTCTGAAACCATGTCAGAATAACGAAGAGGAATGAATGAACTAGCAGTAGGATGGGTACAAGTAGCAAACCCGAATTTGGGTTGTACCCCATATGGGCGACCCCACTACAGCCTACACAATAAGCAGCATATATGTTTGACACAACACTCCATTCCCGTTAACACTCCCCTGCCGCGCTCACGCTTGGGCCCCCAGCCCACACGGCAGTACTTCACGGAAAAAACTCGTACTCGTCGTGCACCCCAGCTGAGCAGAAAGGCACGGCACCTACTGCTGCATATCGTCGACGCTGTCGCCATCGTCGACATCGTTACTTCATGATTCTGACGGGGCACCGGTTAAATGCCGGAAAGTGCAGCGTCTTCGTTAGGAAGTCGGCCGGCTGCTCGATGGTCGGGATGTACTTCAGCATGAATTTTCCGCAACTCACCATGTTTTGCAGCCAGGCGTAGCGTCGCTCCATGTGCTTGAGGTTGCCCGTCAGCCCCAAGCCCTCAACGACCGTGATCGCCGACTTGTTTTCCGCGCGGAGGACAGTCGGCTTCTTAGCGTCGAGCTGCTTGAACTCCTCCTCCTCGCGCTCCTGCGCCTCCTCGTTGTCGAATGTCAACTCGGCGTACACCGAGACCGGCGTCTTCAGGATGCGGCCAGTCCGCTCCTTGTCGATGAAGCGCCAGCGCAGCTTGTTGGCGTGGTTCTGCTAGTGCAGCTACAGCTTCCTCGCTGGCCTGTTGCGCATGATCTCCAGCCCGAGGTACTGGACGACCGGCGAAATCTCCCGCAGCTCGAAGGCAGCTTCCAGCAGCTCCTTCAGCATCGCAGTGCTGCTGCTGGCGGCAAGTAGATGGACGACGTAAACCAGCACCCAGCAGGTCACTCGGTCGTCGCCAGCCTTGAAGTAGAGCGCCGTGTCGACCCGGCTCTTCTTCCAGCCAGCGCCCAACAGCACACCGTCGAGAGCCCTGTAATACAACAGCGGCGACTACTTCAGCCCGTAGAGGCTCTTTAATAGCTTGCATACCTGGTCGGTCCCATCGTCGAAGTAGTTCGGCTGGTACATGTACAGCACCTGGTCGAGCTTGCCCTGCAGGAAATCGTTCTTCAGGTCAAGCTGCATCAGGTTGAGTTCGAGGATGTCGACCATGCAAAGGAAGATCCTCAGCGTGACGTAGCTGCCGCCACCGCCTGGGAGTCTTCGCCCTCCTTCGGCGCCAGTGGTAGTGTCGGCTCCACCATGCCGACCATCGAGCACGATGCCTCCCCGTCGCCTCGGCCCTTGCCGCTATAATTGTCGACGTCCTTCGTCAACGACGCCTTCTTCGACATCTGCTTCTCCTTGCGCTTCTTCTCATCTTGACGGGAGCGACGACTGGTTGACCGACCGCGGCCTCCCTTGTTGTCTTCCTCGTCGCTATCGTCGCGATCGGGGCATTCAAAAGAGAGATGGTTGGAGTCGCCGCAGATCCAGCACTCCCGCCGTCGACCACCACCTCCACGGCCTTTGTCCCGCGTCGACTTCTTCTCGTCAACGTCCTTTGTCGACCGCCCACCCCCGCTACCACCTGCGCCCGCCTTCCCGCGCTACCCCTGCTGACAATTCTGCTTTGTCGGTACAGCGTAGCTCACCTGCTAAAGGAGCTATGTGGGCTGCTCTGCCTCCTGCAGGGCCTTGTTTTGAATGACGTAGCTGGTGAGG